AGAGAGAGAGAGAGAGAGAGAAAGTGAGAAAGAAAAGGAGGGGATCACAAGTGACGAAGCGAGCGGGGGAGTTTTCCTATGGTTTGGATGACGGGGTCATTAGAAAAGAATAAATAAATAAATATTGTCATTTGGACTATGAAAAAGGTAGAGAAGAGGTTAAATGTAATTTTCTTTTAAATTTGAGGGGGCCCATGTTCCATGGACCAAAGGGATTATAATTACAGGAAAGGGGGTATATGTCTTTTTCCCTTTTATTTTTCATCCTTTTGCCACATTTTCCTGTCTCGTTCTTTTGAAATATCAAAAGCATATTGGCATAAACGAGTTCATGCAACTCGGAAACATTTGGTCTTCAATGCCAGTTCATTTTAATGAGAACTGCAAACTTCATCTATGCAATTCCCAGAAGTTAGAACACACCTCGGATTGAAATATAAGTGTGAGAAGCACCATACTCATTGAAAGGGGTCTGATGACTTTCCTACGGAGCTGCAAGGGCTCCACTGAAAGCACTCTACCCTAATTGAGAGTGCAAATTGCTAATCTAGTTGACATAAATATGGCCTTCACTATCCAGAATTTACAGATCCAGTTCATTCCTTCAGCTAAACAATTTTATCTCAGTTCATAGGGAACTTTCTTCCAAGAGGATCATGCATATTACAAAAGATCTAATACACGTTTAGTAGAACAACTGTACAGGTCCAAGGGTATCAAACTGATGTAGAGAATTTGAAGAAACATAGAAAATTAGCAAGAAAGCACCTTAACATAAGCAATTTTGTAGAAACCCTAAGGCTTTATCACACCTAGGGTTCAAACCTTCGGCTTCTTTTCCCAAGAAAAAGTATTTTTTTTCTTAAAGCAGGAATATATGAATGCCTCTCCAACCCATCCACGCCTTTATTTATATTGAAAATTATTGTTGTGGACCATATATGTCCATACAATCGACTTTTGACTAAAAAGTCCTAACTTAAAGATAACTTGAAACTAAACTCCCTAACTTTAATTTAAATATCTAAAAAGTCCCTAATTGGTTCAACAATGAAATAAATTAAAAAAAAAAACATATGAAATAGCACAAAAACTAAAAAAAACATTCAAACTATTTTTTGCTCTTCTTGTTGTTCTTGGAAGCCCTCCTAGGGTTTTCATCCTACAAATATGAGCGAAAATTAGGAGAAATCTGTTGCTCCCAAAGAAGATACTCGTGGCTACTCTTGTGCTTTGGTTACCATCATTACAAACCCATAGTGAAATCTATATTATCTCATGAACTTTTACTATCGTTGGATAAGGAAGTTGGGTCCAAGTCCTAGGGGTTGAGCCAAATAACTATATCACTAAGCAAGAAGTAAGAACCCAAATTCCCCATTCAATGTAAAGTAGATGCAGGTAAGTGGTAAGCAAGTGTAATAAAATGGGAGTCTTGAGGCCTTCAATTGCGAATAAGACTATGATATTTTGTAGTATTATTGACCTTGATCACACATAGAAAACAGGGAAAATAACCAATGTCAGAAGATGCACTCACCGGGTGGAAACAAATGCATAATTGTGGAGAAACTCCATATATTACTCTAATACAAAGCCCTTTTGATATCTCCCAAATTCTAACTGTTTTATCCATTGATGCCGAAGCTATGTACTGATTGTTGGATGAAAAAGCAAAATCTGAAAAAAGTGCACCTAGTGAGTTCAAAAGAAACAGGATAACGCATCGAATCTTAAAGTTGCAGTCTCGCAGAGAGCACAAACAAAGTGGTTCTTCCAACCGCAAAAGTAAAATCAGGCTTAAAGAAAAAACCACACAACTTCAGAAATATTGCAGCAACCAATGGAATGTTAACATCATGAATTAAGTCATAAAATTGTTAAAAGCAAAAGCATAACTTAAGACTATTTGGTCATGTGGATAGCAATTAAATTCTCATACAAAGTTTACATGAAATCCTGATCACATATGCATGAAGTATAGGGACCTTTTACTAAATGAACAGCTATTGCTTGATCAACAGCCTTAAAACCCCACTGAGGAGTGAAAAAAATAGAACAAGAAAGAAAATGTCTTGAACAAGGATGAGTTCATTCCTTTTTTTTTTAGTTGCAGACTGATTCTCTTACAAATTAGCAACCATGACTTGAACACGATATCGAAAGCTCCTCGCATTGAGAAAAGCAAGTCCCTTTCTTATATCCAGCATTTACAGTAATCCTGCCCAAAAGGTCGCCCATTCTCCAAAACGAAAGACAGGTAAAAGGTGTCCAAGGGACATGCCATCGTCAAATCAAGTCTTCACTCTACTCTATGCCCCACCTTTAACAATATTCTTTCAAGTAAATGGATAAATAAGAATAAGGTGGATACATTTTTTTTACAAGCAAAAACCTCAAAATGTTGTTAAAGTTGTTAAAGTGTAATTTTTAGAAATCATATCAATCTTTATTTAATTTTATTTTGAGTGATGTTGTATTTGTAATTATGTGTAGTAAGAAGTTATGGAATTACTAGGTGGTTAGTAGTTATTGCTGTAAATAGGTAATTATTGTTGTAAGTGGGTAATTATTGTAGTAAGTATAATTGTAAGAACCTCAATTTAAAGAGAAGTGCGGTGGGAAAATTGGGTCACATTAAGTTTGTAATACTTTTGTGTACCTCATTTTTCATCATTGTATAGTAAATTATTTTTCTTCCACCTCATATTGATTGTTCTGGTTTTATCTCTTTGGTGGTGAGTCTTGGGCCAGTGTAACATTATTACACTAATTGAGAAGTCGATTGCTTCGGTATTGTGGCATCTATCTTTCTCTGCATGTTATTAAAGCCACAAGGGTGGTAGTGATATTATCTTGACTCCTTTGGTGAAGAAGATCGTCTTTGTTAAGATGGATTTGGGTGAAAGGTTGAATGGTTTTAGCATTGAGTTGGGAGCTCAAGGCAATTTTTTTATTTCCCAAATTCTTCTTAAAGATCAAGAATATTTATTTAGAGATCTCTCGCTGATTCGGAAGAACCTATTTCGAAAGCACGAATGAAGCGGCTTGTAATTTGTGAGTTAAAGACGGAGTATATTCCTTATCTTACTTCTATTCAAAGGTGAGCTACATAGCCATCCTTGGCGGAGTTTGAGAAACTCCTTGGTAGCCCATCAAATGGCAAGATTTTCTACTTTGGGAAGTGATGGAGATGATCGCATCACACTTAAGAGCTAGCATGGTCTCCTTTCTATAAGATCACTTTAAGGGGAAGTGTTAAAATTGTTAAAGTGCATTTTCTATAAATTATATTATTCTTTGTTTTATTTTATTTTGAGTGATGTAGTGAGGTTGTATTTGTAATCATATGTAGTAGGAAGTTATGGAACTACTAGATAGTTAGTAATTATTGTTGTAAATAAGTAATTATTATCGTAAGTGGGTAATTCGTGTAATAAATATGGTCGTAAGAACCTCTATTAAAAGAGAGATGTGTAGTGGGAAACTTGGGTCACATGTATCAAGTTTGTAATGCTTTTGTATACCCTATTTATTATAATTGAATGAGAACTTGCGTTTCTTCGGCCTCATCTTGATTGCTCTTCTTCTATCTCTTTGGTGATGAGTCTTGGGCCAGTGTGCCATTGTTACAATAATTAATAAGCGAATTGTTTAGTTATTGTGGCATCTGCCTTTCTCCACAAAAAATAAATTTTCTATTCAATGATGAAAAAAAAGGGTACACAAAAGCATTACAAACTTAATACATGGAACCCAATTTTCCCACAATATGTATCTCTTTAAATAGAGGTTCTTACAACCATATTTACTACAAATACTACCCACTTCCAGTAATAACTACCTATTTCCAGTAATAACTACTAACTACCTAGTAATTCCATAACTTCCTATTGCACAAAATTACAAATACAACCTCATTATACCCTTAAAATAAAATTAAATAAAAACTAATATGATTTCTAGAAAATACACTTTAATAATTTTAACACTCTCCCTTAAAGTGATTTTTTAAAAAGGAGACAATGCTTAGCTCTTAAGTGTGATTCGACCATCTCCATCACTTCCCGAAATAAAAAAAATCTGGCTATTCGACGGGCCACCAAGGAGATTTGTAAACTGCATCAAGGATGGCTGCATAGCCCACCCTTGAATAAAAGTAACATAGGGAATATACTCCTTTAACCCATGAATGATGTGTCACTTCATTTGTGCCTCCGAAATAGGTTCTTGATCAACAGAGAGATCTCTGAACAAAGATTCATGTTCTTTAAGAAGAATTGGAAAATAGAAAGATCGTTTTGAGGTGAGTTCCCAACTCAATACTAAAACCATTCGACCTTCCACCCAAATCCATCTTCAAAAAGACTATTGATCTTCTTCACTAAGGGAGATATCACAATACCGTAACAATCCGCTTGATTCTTGACTATTTGAGTGATGTTTTAATAAATGAAACTGACATGAAACATGACAAAAGTTATTTTCTTTCTTGTCTAGTGATGGAAGGGCTACATTAATGTATAAATTGGGTAAATTCAACTAGAAACTGAATGAAAGAGAAACCATCAAAAATCCGAGTAAAAAAGATGAATATTACAGATTTGGCATGTCCATTATGTGCATTTGAGGCTACAAATTAGCCACATCATAAAATCCCTGAAAAAGAAACTAAATTTGATAAACTATAAAAAATAAGTAAAAATTCGATAATTGATTGAACTTTTTAGGATGCATCGCTGAAAAATCAAAAATCATACCCAAAAAATAGTTTGATCAAATCGCCACACAAACAGATTTTCCAGAACTTCCTCATAAGATAACATAAGAATCTTTATAGAAAACATTGGACCTGACCTGTGACATCTTTTGAGTGGCCCTTCAATTGTTGAATTATGGCAGGAGGTTGTGAAACAGTGCAAACAGTCAAGCTACCATCAGAAGCGCCATATGCAAGAGTGTCTGAGCTCATGTGCCCAAATTTCAATATAGTAACTGGAAACAGTAACTAGTTAGTGAGTTTTCAATGGAAATATCCAGATGTCCAACCCTTGCAATCAAGGACTGAAAAAGAAGGTATCGTCTGAATTCAGTTCACGAGAAGGAGACTGCATCATGATCCAATGGACTACCATAGTCCATGAAGTCATCACCCGAACCCATTAGGGTCATCACCATCCAAAGAAATGATGGATGACGATGGAACGAGTGTAGACTCAAAAACCAAGAAAAGAACCCCATGTTGCCCCGCCCACCCCCCCCCTGCGCCCTTTATCACTGCCATCACTTTATTGGAGAGTGAATTAAGATTTTCTATAGTGCATTAATCACTGCCCTCACTTCATTGGAGAGTGAATTAACATTTTCTATAGTGCATTAAATCATAGTAAATCCCATTAAAATTTTACCTGATGCTTTGCAATTGTCAAAGATACAATGCATCCCTACAAAAGAATATGCAGGTTCCGCAAAGCGAAGAGGGCGATCAGATTCACTCAAAGTGGAGCTAAAACTTGTACAATGGCTAAGAGCAGAATTAAAGCCTTGCAAATCCTATAAAAATGAACTCAAGTCAGTTCCTATATCGTTAAATGAAAAACAAAAAAAATAACACTAAACCAAATTTCCTTTATGAAACCAACAATGTATCTGTGTGTGTGTGCGTGTTTTGTTTAAATACCACAGTATCATAGATACTGAAAAAGGCATAAAAAAAGTATGATCATACCCTGCTAGAGCCCAAACTTTCCGCCTCATAAAGGATAGACTGCAGACCAGGAGATGATCCCCAGCGCCCACTGATCCATCGACCAGTAAATTTTAGATTTGTTTAGACAAATAAACTCCGAGAGAGTAAACACAAAATGAAGAGATGCATCATGATTTCAAGTATAAGAGCTAAATTATCACACAAGTAGACTATATGAATTTGTTACAAATGGCATAATTTGATTTAAAACAAGTAAGCTACAATGAGTATTCGCAATGTAGAAAACCCCGTACATGCTTCTACACATAGAGAATAATTTCAAACCAAAACAAGGCCTTAATTCACAACAACCATAAAAACAAAAAGACCTTGCTTCACCATAAGGGAATCAAATCTCAAGCCAAAATAGATTGTTTAGTTCAAAATTTGCATCATTTGAATCAACAAAGTGGAAAGAAATTTCAAGGTACATAAAACCCAAAACGAGAGTACTTGAATTTAACTGACCTTTGACCAGGAGTACTTGGTTGGCTTGGTACATGCAAACTTTCCCCATTTTTTCGTTGCTGAATGTAGTTGCGAAAGGCCACATAACCTCTGCCATTACATTTCCAATCCTTCATAATGAGATGGCCACAATGAGTTACATTTTCAGAAAATGATTTGAAATCATGGTCTCCCCCTCAGTTAAGGACCATCAATATATTCTGAATAAATCTTAAAAATGTTTCAAAGGCTCTCTCTCTCTCTCTCTCTCTCTCTCTCTCTCTCTCTCTCTCATGCATTACTGATGGGGAGCTGCACAAATTCAGCAGATCATGAGATCCAATTTAAAAATGCAAATTCTTCCAATCAAATCAGATTTCAATTCCATTGTGCATCTAAATTTTTCCAAGATAAACACGAATTCATGGAATATTCAAATCAGTGAAACACAAATTCAGGTCTATTCAAAATCAGTGAAAAGATCAGGCAAATCGGTGAAACACAAATTCAGGTCTATTCAAAATCAGTGAAAAAATCGAGCGAACCTTGCGTTGATCACAACCAGAAGCAACCTTTCTGGAAAGGAGTAGGCGACGCATGGCCACATAAGAAGGATCAACATTGGAAATGATAGGTTGAAGGAGACAACTAAAGAATTCAGCATCCATCTCCCCAGTTCCCTTTGATTTTTGGTGTTGAGTTTCTTCATCCTTGGAGCTTTGGTGTTGGGTTTCTCTCTCCTCAGTCTTTTGCGGCAGTCCTTCTCTCTCCTCGAAGTTTCGGATTTGTGTTTCTCTCGCACTGGAGTTTTCGATTTGGGTTTCACTCCCATTGGAGTCTAGGTGGTTGTTTTCTCTCTCAGTGGAGTTTGGGATTTGGATTTCTCTCTCCTCTGAGTTTTGATATTGGGCGTCTCCCCAATTGGAGCTGCGGTGTTGGGTTTCTCTCTCCTTCGGCTTTTGGATTTGGGTTTCCCTCGCATCGAAGTTTTTGTGCTGGGAATCATTCTCCTCGGAGATTTTGGGTTGGATTTCACTCTCCTCATAGTTTTGGGATTGGATTTCTAACCCCTGTAAGTTTTGTGGTTGGGTTTCCATTTGAGTCACCTCTAAATTCTCCCCCATTTTGCTCTGCAATTGCTAGGCATTTGCTTGTGATGCTCTGCTGCTACTCCTCTTATTCGCGCAATATACCACGGGCACTTGATGATGGCGCGAGCAAAGCCTGCGGTCTTGTTCATATTCATATGCATTATTTCGGGATGGGAAATGTTTATATAGAGCCGAGGCTTAGAGCCTGCCTCAAAAAATTCACTAGATCAGGTTGTTTTGTGCCCAAGTATTCACAAATTCATCTTCTAGACATCAAGACCAAGGACATGAAGAAAAAATGGATTTTAAGTGAAAAAATGGATTCCAAGTTTTTTAAAATAGTGTATCTTGTAATAAAAAATAAATTTTAAATTTTGAAAATAATGTATTTTGTAATGCATTTTTTAACATTCAATTTTCAAGATTTTCGTAGATCTCTCCATACACTATTTTTTACACTTTAAACTATATAAATAAATATGAAAATATATTTTAAGGTTATCATAAAAATTTCTAATATTGAAACTACATTTCGTGATACTATTTGAAGGTAGGCTTTTAATTTGACTGTTTAGAGCCTAGGTAGGCTCTATACCAACCCCACCTTTTCGGGATTATATAGTATGAGATATCATTGGTATAAAGAGTTCACAAATATCAAATTGGAGGATTTGGGAGATCTTGAGAATTTTTTTCTTCTTCAGATTTTGAGTCTGGTCAAATGACACACTACAATCATCCGCCCTATCAAAATAAATAAAGTCTCATCTCATAAGTCTCCGAAAATTACAATTCAAGTCCTGAAAAGCATTTATATTGATCATCTCGGCTTGAATATGGTTATAAAAAAAAAAATAATTAGAATTTCAAGCTCTAAAAATAGTGTATATTATAACAAATTACCTAGGGGTGCAACTTGTATAGAGCTGAAGCTCTAAACAATCAAAGTAAATCGCATCTTCAAATAATGTTGAAAAATGTTGTTTCTATGCTGTAAATCTTTGTGATAGCTTTAAAATACATTTTTTTCGTTAATTATAAAATTTTCAGGTTAAAAAATAGTGTAGATGTGCAGATCTATGAAAACTTTAAAATTTTGAAAATTGACCGTCTTAAAATGCCTTACAAGATGCACTATTTTCAAAACTTGAAATCCATTTTTTTTCTCATGTTCATGCATCTTGATAGCGAGATGATCGATTTGAGGATATTTGGACATCAAAACAACATCTTCTAGTGAAATTTTTGTTGTGGGCTCTAATTTGATTGTTTGGAGCATCGAATCTATATAAACTTTTTCCATTATCTAGACTGTTAATTTCGTCCTAAAAATCAGTGTTTATAAATCCACAAGATTTGTACCATTTTTTGAGTTTTAAATGTTGTTGTCGGTGTTAGCAATTGATTTTAGAGCTATTATGGAGATTTTCATTGCCAAAAACTGCTTTGTAGACGAGGATTTGAGGGAAGGCTTTATCTTGATTTCATAAAGCCTACATCTCAATTTAAAATCAAACAGACAAGAGTAATTGTGACCTTTTTATATAAAAGTAAATAGCCTCTTCATGTACTTTTTCTATTATCTCATGTCTCAACAAAATGTTCGTAAAAGGGTGGGGTTTGCATAAGGCCCCCACCTTAAAAGTAAGTTGCAAAGAGTAATGATTTTATAGGACCCTCTCATACCTGCAAGAATGAGATCTCAATAAATCACTTTTGAATTTTCATCCAAATTCCAAGGAGAAATTTCAAATCCTCCCCTCTTTTTTCTTTTTTAAAATACCTTCTTTTATACTTTTGTTAAGTAGCTCGCGCTCTCTTAAAAGTATGATGAAAGATGAAAGGAGGAAGAGAAAGAGAAAGAGAGAGAGAGATATTAAAAAAATATTATTTTAATAAAATAGGGGGAGGGATTCAGATTTGTTTGTGAAATTTGAATCCAAATCCTACAGCAACTTATTGGGATCCCATACTTGCAGCGGTGAGAGGGTCCAATAAAATCATTATTCATCTTAATAACCACGTAATATCTCAATCCCAATAACTCATCCCGGGTTTGAAAATTTTGGTATCCGGGGTTATTCTATGACGGGATGCAATTTGCTCTCTCTGTGGATAATCTCTTCTGGTTACCAAATTTGGAACCGCTATCTCTTTTATTCACTCCTGATCCCACCATTTACGGGCAATCTATCTCACCGGAAAATGCAACCAATTTGCTGGTACCTTGCATATGCGGTGCCGTTCCAAGGGTAAAGCATCCATTTTTTACGCAGCCGTCCAGATAGTATAAACCACCCATCTTTTACATAGCGTTGCAGTTAAGATGGAATCAAGTTGGTGTTTCATTTGAAAACTATAAAAACTAACCGTTCAAATGATTTTTACTAGAATTATTATTTGTAATTTTTAAAATATATTTATTTATTTACATATTATTATATATCTTTAAAAAGTAAGTTTAATCCATCAAAATAAATTAATTAAAGGCCAGCCTTTTTACATATGCGGGCTTGGCCGCATAGGAACAGATCCGTGTCTAAATCGCCTGAAAACTGACCAACTTGCTGGAAAATGAACCCTAACGCCTGAAGTTTCACGTAATTTGCTGGAAACTGAGCCAATTAACTGGAAAAGTCATCCACTTCCCCAGAAAATTCACACACTTTGCTGGAGAATAAACTTGACTTGCCGGAAAGTGAAGCCCCCACCAGAAATTTCTTTATTTTGGAGGGAATTCGACCTGGAATTGCGCTGTTTTTGCCGGAATTTGTATAAGCACAAATTCCTGGGTTTTACTAGAACTTGGCATGACGTGAAGGCGCGAAGGCAGCCATGGTCATCGAGGACTACAGTTGACCCCATCTCATCAATGGAAAGGAGTCAAAGGACTAATCTTGCTAAATAGTAATTTCCTTTAAAGAGTTTTAGAGAGAGAAAGGGATGAAATTTGGTGACAGAGTTAGAGAGAGATCCAAATTGCAAAGAGAGAGAGAAAAATGGCGAGCCTGGATTTGACGTATAAGGACTAGTCTGGCTCTTGAGCTCTAATGGGACCTTTCTATTAATGATTAACAGTAACAGGAACCCGTAATTTCGCCAGTAAAGCAGAACTCACCCTAATTCCTTTACTTTCTACTCACATAGTAACTGTCCATGTCTGCAACCTTTCGCGTTGGGCTTAACCAGAGAAGCCAGTAAGTAACACAAAGGATGATCTAGTTGATAAACGCCCGTATTTGAACAAATTTTATTTTTGGGTTTTTGCTTACTTTAGGGATATTGTTAAAAGACTGTGTTTGAATGAGTTAATATCAGATATATGAAAAATCGGGAATACCGTTATACAAATTTTTTAAAATTTGAATATTCAGATTCTGTTTTAAAATATTTTTGTTATATCCACTTATCTGTTCATCCAACTTATGGATAGAGAACAATATTAGCGTGATTTTGCAGTTTTATTATTGATCTCCTCATCCTTATTTCTTCAATATATATGTAGGGTAGCATCCTGGATTATGAGTTTGAGCTCCTCATCCCTATTCTTCTTTTGTTGCAATGGGAAATTTGAGGCTCTTTTTGTTGTTTTTGCTTAGTCTTCTTCCCCTTCCATGCCATGGCGGTGTTACCAGTTCCTACTCTAGGAGTCCTCCTTCAGTTGACATGCCCCTCACTGATGAAGCTTTTAGGCCGCCTCCTGGTTTCAATGCTCCTGAACAGGTACACCTATTTCTAAGAAAAAAAATTTTTCTTTTGTTTTTTTATATATTGATTTCATGAAACCTCTTTATGAGGACTGGACTTTGGACCTAGGACCTAGGGTGCTGGGGCCTAGGCCTTGCCCATAATGTAAGCCCGGCTCGGCTCTACTATTTCTCGATTTCTCGACGTAGTGCCAGCCTAGGCCCTTCCCATACCATAACCCAGTGTCTGCGCTATTCTTTCTTGAGTTGGGTGGCCCGGGTGGGTCAACCCGGTTCTGCCCTACTCTTTCTCGAATTAGGTGGCCTGGCCCGTTCCTGGCCCTACTCTTTTTTGAGTTAAGTGGCCCGGCCGTTCCTGCTAATGGGGTCAGGCGGAGCCACCACACATCCCATAGCCCCGTGCATGCCCTACTCTTTCTGGAGTTAGGTGGCCTGGCTGGGTCTTGCTAATGGGGTCCAGCCGAGCCACTCCCCATCCCATAGCCCGTGCCAGCCCTCTGAGTTAGTGGTCCAGCCGACTCCACTGTATATTAAGTTTTTTGTTTCCTCATTTTATAATTGTTTTCGTTTCTTAATTTTTTTTTAAAAAAAAAGAGAAAAAAAAAACCACCCTTCATTAAAAAAAAAAAAGACTTACCTCCTTTTTATTTTGAATTAGGTTCATATAACACAAGGAGACCATGAGGGGAGAGCCATGATAATCTCATGGGTCACACCCCTTAAGCCAGGGCCCGGCAAGCTGGTATATGGTTCTGCAGAGAACAAGCGCATGCACATGTCTCGAAGCAACGTTTATACTTACAAGTTCTACAATTACAAATCAGGATACATTCATCACTGCACCATCAAGAACCTTGAGGTAACTGGTTTATGATTTGATTTGTTTTATGATGAAATCTTGCAAAATAAGGGTTTTGTATAAACTGCATCCCCCGGAATGCTTTTTCCACTATTTTTTTATTTTTTTATTCAACTTCATCACACTACACACTACAACTCATCGTAGCATAACTAGCCAATACAATAATACAACATATCATATTTACCATCACATGAAACCTACTCTCAAAATAGAGAGAGACGTGTGGTGAAGAGAAAGATTTACAGAGAGAGAAATAAGATTGGGTGAGAGAAAGAGGGAGTGAGCAGAGGAAGAGAGAGAGAGAGAGAAAATTTAGGAAGAAAGGTGTATTGTCTCCAAAATTTAAAATTTGAATCTATTAAAAACTTATATGTATTAAAAACTAGGAGAAAATTTATATAAGATTTGTAACCTTATATTGTTAAGGTGTACCAGTGTTCCAATATTAGAAAACCCTTCTACTAAGAACAAAAGAATTTCAAGTCCTAAAAATAAGGAATCTTGTAAATTTTTTTTTTAAAAAGTTAAAGTCCTAAAAATAGAGAATCTTATAAAATTTTTAAGTGACTTATTTGTTTTCAAAATTTGTGTTTATAGATCGACTCAATTTGTACTATTTTTAAAATTTTAAAATTTAATAAAAATAATTTTTCCAACCATCATAAGGTTCACTAAAACTACATCTCCAAACAAATTCATGGTAGTGCCCATAAACTCTGGGAGAGTTTATAACCGTATTTTAATTTTTAATACTTGTACGCTCCCAATAAGGCCAAGTGGGATACACAAAAGATTTGGTGGGACCAAATTCATAGAAAGAACTTTTAAATTTTTAAACAAAATATCATTGAAAAATAAAAAATAATATTAAAAGAAAAGGGCAGTTTTGGTACAACGGGTCAACCTTAAACCAGTGCATTTCTAAAATATACTTAAAGATGTGGCTTTGTTGCTGGAAACCTCTATTTATTTTTTAGGCTTGATATTCTTTTTTTTTGAGATGTGTAGATATACATGAAAATCTTGAAAATCGGTCGAGATAATGTGATTCAAGATGCACCCTTTTTGAGTCTTGATATTTTTATTTTTTCATATTTTTATATGTTGTGGTCAACATCAATTGGAAGGTTTTTCAATGTCGTAACGATATTTTTAAGTGAACTT